TAAATGAACATTTGAGTCGATATATTTCAGCTACATTTTCATTAAAAAATGGCTTTATTTTTATGAGGGCAAAGAAACATTTATTAATAGCTACTAGAAAAGCTCATCAGTCATACATATATATATGTTTTGACAAAATATAACGTTGGGATCCTGATGAGGTCATAGTATATAAAAGATAAACATAGTCTCCAGTTCTGATAGTAAAGTCAGCGCTGAAGTGCCTCAAACCCAGATTCATTTCTCTGACGCCAAAAGAAGTCTAGTTTTATAAAAGTGCATGGGAAAACTACCCTCAAGCTAACGTGACCTATGACCTCAGTGACTTTATAGGGTCAGCTGCTAGCTGGAGTCTTAATGAACACAATATGATGTTCCTTTTGCAAGCTGTGCTCTTTATTAGTGTTAGAAAGGAGGTTAGATGAGGTTCGGCTACTTTGCGACATGTCTCTGTCATAGAAGCGTATGATGTCAGTCTCACATGACCACTTGGCAGCTGTTTTTAAAGGTTGTGATGTGCTAACTTCACTATTGCAGAGTTGTTCCTTTACAGAAAAAAGAAATCCTGCCTCACTCTAAGAGGCTTCAATCCCTTCCTGTATTATTCTTGTTTCTTAACCAGTTTTGTTAACCGAGGTTTTATTAACTCGATTAACTCACAGCAGATGTTTTTGTTAATCAAATGTCCCCCAAAGGCCAATCCTGAGTCAGGACAAACCCTGTACAAGCATTCGATTGTAGAGAAAGTAGTCCTTTTAGCCTTTGTCTTTACTCAGAGTGATTTTAAATTGGTTTTATGATTAATTTCCACCTACACAGACGCTGACTGAACAAAACCATTTCCCACCTGTTCTTATCTTGCAGCCGGCTGATCTCTGAAGTTTGCAGTAACAGTTCCTTTTCCAGCTTGTTGGTGGACAGAGAATTCTCCAGAAGCTTTATCTCGATCTGAGATGTGTGGTTTAGGACCTGATGAAAAACAAAAACAGAGGATAAACTCACAAAAGTCTGTTTTTAGATGACAGGTTCAGCACACTGGCAGCTCCTTACCTTTGCTTCGACCACATGGAGTTTGCGTGTCTGCTCTGCTGTGTGCGTGAGCAGGTTCGTGCCGATTTCCAGCATCGTGGCCGTTTGGTTGTGAACGACATGCGACTGCATGTTGGCAACGTCACGCCTGTTGTTCTTCTGAAGGAAGTTCTCCAACTGCACTCAACGAAAGGGAAACACAAGGTGTCAGAGTTATATGAGAGGAAGATGAGAAGTAAAACTCTAAAGACACAAGCGACACAAAGAAATCCATCCAGTGCACATCCAGTCGTCACAGCGGAGTCATCCACCCAGAATCAAACAGACTGACTTCAAACTAAATGATTTTCATGACAACAGAGATCCCTTCAAGAATGAGGTGTGTTATAGTACAGCTGACCAGCAGTGGTGTCCAAACCCAGGCCTCGAGAGCCGGTGTCCTGCAGGCTTTAGATGGGTCCTCGATCCATCACAGCTGATTTAAATGGCTAAATAACCTCCTCAACATGTCTTGAAGTCCTCCAGAGGCCTGGGAATGAACTAATCATGTGATTCAGGTGTGTAGACCCAGGGTGAGATCTAAGACCTGCAGGACACCGGCCCTCGAGGCCTGGAGTTGGCCAAGCCTGCCCTAGAGTAACTTGTAGCATCTAAAATGAGTCTCTCAGAAACAAGACAACACTGAGCATCAAGATGAAAAGCCTCTGCTCGCCAAAAAGATCACTGGTGCCTTTCTGCAGTTTGCTGAAGTCATGTGAACAAGGCTGAACAATGTTTTGTGTGTAAATTAAATTAAAAGTTTCTGATTTGGAATGAGAAGTGTTTGGGGGAAAAACACAGCATTCCAACATAAAACTGTATCCCACCAATAAAACATGGAGCTGTTAGTTGGATGCATTAAAACAGGCTTCTTGGCCAGAAACATGAGATCAGTGAGCCCAAACTCGGGAGCATAAGATAACTCTTTATTGCACAGTCATACTTCGTACAATGAAATTAGAATATTGTGGGTCATACAGCAAGAGAACAACACGTCCTCTATCCTGCACGCTCTATAAACCCCTACCCTCCAACTACAAACCCTTCTAGTATTTCAAGTTTGTAGTGGTAATCAGCATGCTAACAGCTCAGGAAAAGCTTTAAGAAAAACAGCACACAGCATTCAAGCCAGTGACTCAGGACTGAGGCTGAAAAACTTCAGATCTCGCAAGATCTCGCAAGAGTTGAATTCCAACAATGGCGGCAGCTACTTCGTTGTAATATTACTCTTTCTGGGTCACAAAATACACTTTTAAGATATTTTGAGGCGTGAATGTAGTTGTGTAAACGTCAGATACCTGCTCGGTTTACAAGACATCACATATTTGCAAAAGTGCTCCGACGTTTTCGGAGATCTGACACCCACTAGCTCGAAGCTAACGGGAGGCCGAGACCTACTACAGCCGGGAGGAACACCGCTTTCCCGGCACATCGTGCCTCGACCTCCCGGTCGGTTTCGAGCTGGCGGCCTCCGAAGAATGCGGCTAAAACTTTTGCGAGATCCTGAGTTTGTTTTGCGAGATCTTGCAAAAGTCCGTCTTAATTTTTTTTTTCTCCCATGTCCCCTGCGGGGCTCCGTAACAAACCAACTAATAAAGGAAATTAAAATATTGGACTTTTTGTTTATTGAAGAAAAGGATCCGATATTATTATTATCTGTGAGGGTAACAGTTTTTATTTGTTTTTATTACTTGGCGTGATCCACTTTTAGTCCTTTAGCCCAGAAAACATTCACGATGTTGGCGAGTGTCCTCACATAAACGCTTCACTTTTGTCTTTTCACAACATTTCTGCTGGATTGGACTGGATTGGACTTTAACTTGGACTTAGTCGTGGACGACTTGTTTATTTTTGCTGTTGATTTGCTCTTCGGGGACACTGATGGGGAAACTGCCATTTTTGGTCTTATGGTGTTATCCCAGTATCCTATTCAGTATTTGTTGAGTGTCTGTCTCAGCTACAACCACTGGGATTCATCATCTGGAACCCACGAGTGTTCATACAGGTGCAGGGCAATGCATGGATAAAAAGACACAGAGCCAATAAAACAGAAAAGACGAGTATGTGATGAAAAGCTAATGAGCAAGTTTGACGTCACGGCTAAAATAAAATGACTTGTGCTGAGTCTTTCCACAGTTCAGCAGTGAGTTGTTTTATTCTGGAAAACCACCCACTCAGTGCATCAAGTTCACCAAATCAAACATGTTAATAAAACATGTCAGGGGGTCTGGTATATAAAGACGCAGGACTCTCCATCTCTGGGAATATGAGCCCATGCCAGCTCGCACTGCCATGCTGTAATCTTCAACCCCGACAAATAAATAATCTATCCATCCAGCCATCCATTCGTGCCTCAGTCTCCACGTCCTCAGGATATCAGTGCCACTGAGAAGAAGGAGTTGATAAATATACCGCTGGACCAACAAACAGATTGGTCCCAGTGGGACGGCCAGTAACCAGCGGAGCAAAGTTCAGGCCAGAGTGCCCAGAGCACATTTGGCTCTGGTGTAGATCACTTTTCTTGCAGGGGTCTCGTTGCAAAACCTAATTTGTTTTTCCCAATAGTGACATTTCTCAAAGGTTTAACTAGTGTTTAAAGTTAGTTGTGGTTTGGCATCATTGTTTCTTTTGTGTTTCATTATCACATTTTTGCACAGATATTTTTAAAAAACGTGTTTGGAGAGAAAACAGATTTACTTATTTATTTACCTAAACTGAAAATCAGCTTGATGCTCCGTCTTGAAAAGCACGAATGTCTGTATTTCCCTAAAAAATCAAGAAATGAATCGCAGGGATAATCTCATGTGTTCGAGTCAATACATCAGCATACACGAGCATCGTGTGCACGTGATTGGGTCGAGCACATGGACAAAATCTATGAACATGGGTTTAAGCAATGCCAGGATTTCAAGAAATGATTAAAAAAACATGAACCCTGATCAAAATTAGACTTTAGAT